GTTACATTTTTATCATCTTTTCTCTATCAATTGCTGAGTGTTGTATCTGCAAACTGTAAGCTATACTTTTGTACTCTGCTCATGTAAGCAAAGTGAATCCTGATCATTTGGTCTCTTCATTTAAGAAAAGATATCCTTGTTTTACAGAGGATACAACAAAGATTCACTGGATGGTTTTCTGACATGAGGGGACTGCCCATGAGGAGACATTGTGTAGAACAAGCCAATCATCTCTGGAGTTTAGAATAATGAGAAGTGGACACGTGTAACAGTCTTAACAGACTTTACTGGAAAAATGCTGTGAGGCCCTTTACTCTGGTTGCATAATCTAGAACAGGAGGTCATAGACTCATGCCAAGGAGACAACCATTTGGGATTGATTTGAAGATAAATTTCTTGGTCAGAGGATGGTGGATTTTTGGAAAGGACTGTAGGTGTTCAAGATCGAGATTAATAGTTTTTTGGACAATAAAGAAACCAATGAATACTAAGAGAGCTGAGTTGAGATAGAACGTCAGCACCGTTATTTTGAAAGAGTAAACAGGCTCAAGGGCTGTATGGCTCATTCTTTCTCCTATTTCTTGTTTTCATATGATATCTATAATGGGTTAATTACCCTTTCAAAGCAGAGCTACCATTAATTCAATGAGCAAAAATGTTATAAATATGTTGCGAATTCAACAAGCTCTTTTTGACTCGCTGCTTGAGACTTTAGGTGGGAGAACTGCTTAACTGATTTGGACAGGCAGCCTTCTAAAGATCCTTGCTTTTGTCTCCACTGGTTTCAAATGCTTGGATTGCAAAATATGGGTTGTCTAATGAGTTGAAGCAGTTATTCATACAATTTTCCAATTAACACAGGAGACTGCTAAAACCATTTCAGACCAAATCAAAAATTACCTGGTACATTTAAAGATAGATTGTGATATGTAACTCTACCCTAGTGAGAGACAGAAATTGCTTTATTGTACAACTTTATTTGCTAATTAATTAGTTCAATGCCTTCATCATTGAACAAGACAGTTCTTTATATCACAAGACGCCCCCAGTAATTTAATCAATGAAGCCACCTGCTACTTAACTCTCCAGCACCATTAAAATTCTACAAGGGAGTGAGAAGAGAACAGGAAAAGTGTTTTGCACACAGAATGTTGCTGCAAGGAATGTTTTGTCATAGGGGAGAGCCGAGGGATAGATTACTGTATATTTTAATGGAAATTGGATAAAATATTTGAAACAGCGGAAGATTCAGGTTTACAGGGAGAGAGATCAGTGAGATTGTTTTGAATTGCTCAAGGAATATAGATATAACACCCAAAATGGTGTCCTTCCATGCTTGAGATTGCAGCTCAATTGAAAAACCTAGAGTGAGAAATCAAAAGTGTTGCATTGGCGTAGTGAGGAGCATTTGGGAGTTGTTTTTGAGGCACAATTTTGGATAAGAACAGAGGGAGATTTCCTGCCTATGCTCTACTCTATTTAGGTAGTGCTAGTTGCTGTGTGAGATGAGGAAATATTATATAATGGTCTTGGATAGAGCACAGCATAAATGATAGCAGGACTCTGAGACATGATTATACAAAGTAAATTTGTACTCATAGAAACATAACATAGGGCTTAGAAACCAAAGTAAGCTATTTGGCCCTTCAGGTTTGCTCAGCAGTAAGATCATAACAGCACTGGTTGTGGTTTCAACTCCAGTTTGCTGTCTGTCCCCAACAACCCTCAAATCTCTTGTCTAGCAAAGACCTACCCACCTCAGTTTTGAATGAATTCGATGACCCCAGACTCCATAGGGGAAGGGAATTCCACAGACTAACAATCCTTGAGAGAAAAAAAAAATCTCAATTTGTTTATTCTTAAGCTCTGATGCCTACATCTAATCTCCCTTTCTTCCATGAATTTTAAAAGGTTAAGGATGATTTAATCAATTTTCAAGGGATGGAGAAAAACTTCTGCTATTTGGCAAGTCTAAGATGATTGGCTTAAAAATTTCATAAGCTAGGAAACACTTCTACACACAAAGGATGGCAGAAGTTTGGAACTCTCTTGTGTAAACAGCAATTAATGCTAGGTCAATTGTTAATTATAAAGCTGTGATGGCTATACTTTCATTAACCAAAGGTATTAGGGATATGGGACAAAGGAGGGTATATGGAGCTAGCTGCAATTCAGCCATGATCTCACTAACACCCAACCAGGCTGGAGGTTAAATGGACATTTCCTGCTCCTGTTATTGCTATTTATTGAATAGCCTTCCGCCCGCTGTAATAACTACACCCCAAGCTCAGGTTCAATATAAATGGGGAATAGAACCAAGACCCTTTTTGCCATTATGAATTTGTAATTAACTTGTCAGGGCCTCATGCTACAAACTGTAAGATTCCATATCCCTGAATCATAGTGTACAAGAGAGGGGTCATGAAAGTGGTAAGGGGGACCAATGATGCAAGCAGCTTTCATTCTGTCATCATTTGATATAATGAAGAAACAATCAAATTTCACAGCAAGATTCGCAGCACCTAATCTTGGCTTTCCTGTATCTAATTATAAAGAGCAGTGGGCACCCACTTCTTTTGAATGGGAATGCAAGTGATAGTGCAGGGTTAGTAGAAACTGCAGATGCTGGAGAATCTGAGATAACAAGGTGTACAGCTGGATGAACACAGCAGGCCAAGCAACAGCAGAGGAGCAGGAAGGCTGACGTTTCGGGCCTAGACCCTTCTTCAGAAAGTGCAGGGTAGCTTGATGAGGTTTCATGCTGCAGAGGTTGAATACAGATCCATCAATATAATACATAATAGAGGTTCCCACCGTGAATTCTCAGCAAAAAATAAAATCATCTGCTCATTTCAGTCTCTGGATTATGTTCGTGAAATAACCTGGTGGGGTTTAAACATGGAAAATTCTGACAATAGCTATACTGCCTTTGGAGTTGGTTAGCAAAGAATCACTGGCAGAAGCTATCAGCAGGGATACTATTAGATCATCTGCCAGCAGCAACACATTATTTAAGTGCAAGCTAAATTTAGCTTTATGGAGGAGGCAATTACGAGAACTGATGCTTGTGAGGTGAAAGCAATTATCCATAACTCTTAAATGTTTCATCCGTACCCTGTGCCTGTACATTACCACATATTTAGCAATGGAAATTTGTAGGCTCAGTACTTCTCAGATGTTGCATATCTGTATTTTGAAAAGACTATTACATCAATGGACTGCAATAGGCTTTAACCTGTGTTTCTCATAAACATACTTAAATCCTCTTGAAACGTCAAGAAGCACAGAGTAATAATTTGCAACATGTTTTTCCTTTCCGTCCCTGCAATGAAACATAAATGCTCTTGCTCCCATTTTGTTCTGGCTTCACACAGCCCAGTGCAATGTTTTTCTTTTACAGGGCTGTCATGCATGGTTTGAAGATGCATATGCTTAGTTGCCACCTGCTCTGAGTGAATTCATCCACAGTGAATTCAGATAACAGCAGTCCTAATATAACAAGGTGGACATATGAGGGGGCAAGTAGATTTAAGAAGGTTCCTAAAGAGAGAGGGAAAATTTGCCCAGTTTCTCAAATACCTCCCAGCTGAATATCTGAACAGCATGCTAACAATTTGATGGATGAAATAAAAAAAGTCAAAATCACTAAGTTTGAACATCTAAATGTTAATGGAGAAATCTTCCAAGATAGCCTCAAGTTTGCTCCAGCTAATTTAACCATGATTAGGAAACTCACCTGTTGTCCACAAAGCTAACAGCATAGTTGACAGCTGGTCCGGCTGGAATTCCAGCATCTTTGAAAAACTGGATCCACTCTGAAGTAGCTGCAGAATAGAAAGAAACCGAGTCTCAGAAGCGCGTCAATACATACCACTTCTCTTCACAAAGCAGGGCAGCTGGCATTCTAACTGGCAATGTTAAATTAAATTTCGGTGTGGCAGCCGCAAATTCTTTACATTGCTTGGGGAGAAATCATGACGAACAAATTATATTCTTACCATTTAGGAACTAACTTAGTTAAAACATTTCGTTGACACATTTTCAATGTCTGATGGATTGATCACTGAATTGTTTTGTCATAGCACACTGCTTCCAGGCAAACGCAAGAAACATACAGTAGAGAAACACAGAGACAGGAGCAGAAAAAATATATCTTGTTCCTTTAGCTTGCTCCACCATTCAATATGGCCATGGCTGATCCTGGGTTTCAACTTCACTTATCTGCCAGCTCCCCATATCCGTTGATCAGTCTATCCCAGCTTTAAACGTATTCAAAATAGAGCTTCCACAATCCTGTGGGGTAGAGAATTCCAAAGTTCATAACCCTCTGAGTAAAGAATTTTCCCAGCTTAGCTCTGAACAATCACCTATTTATTCTGAGATGGTGACTATGTTTTAAATTCCCCCATTAACAACCTCTCAACCCTGCCAAGCTCCCAGAATGTTGTATTTGCAATCAGACCAACTCTCATTTTTCTAAACCCCAGGGAGTATAGACTGTGTTTACTCAGCCTCTCATCATAGCACTAACCTCTCATCCCAGCAACCAATCTAATGGACTTTCATTGTACTGCTTTCAATTCTAAGATTTAATATTACAGCTTCTTAACTAAAGAAGTAAGGAGGTATTATGGCTCAGTGCTAAATTTGTCTGATAATACTTCCATGAAACACCTTGAGATATTTGGTAACATTAGAAGTACTATATAAATGCAAGTTGTTGAAACCAGTGAGTTTTGAGAGTATGACTGAGTCACACTGAGTAAAGTAAGAAAGGAGCGTAGGATCTGATAAAGTATCTGTGCATTTGAAGTTTGAGCTAGCTAGCACAGGGCTGAAGAGAGATTGGGAATGACAATAGACTTACCACTGACCATGTCCAGTCATCACAGGCTGACAATTCAGAAAGCAAATTAGCAGCAAGTCAATACTGGTGAGGGCTGAGTAATCAGTTTCAGTCAACGATGAGAGAGATACTTGCAAACCTCAAATGGTTATAAGATATGGATGAAGCCGATTACCAATGCTTGTTCATTTAGACCTCTGAAAGGCAGAATACAACATGGAGGGGGTGAGGGCTGTTGTGGTGCAGTGGCAATGTACTGACCCCAGGTCATAGAGTCATACCGCACGGAAACAGACTCTTCAGTTCAACCAGTCCATGCTGACTATAATTCCAAACTAAACTAGCCCCATCTGCCTGCGCTTGGTCCACATCCTTCCAAACAAAATGTTTGCCAGAAAGCCTACTGAGCAAGTTACGACAGCGAGGGGTGAAACCTCTGCCAATCCCTTTAAGGGAAATAGCATTGGACAAACAAAGCCAGGACAGGGAGCTCCCTCTAGCAAGAATTCCTTGCAAGATAACAGTGAAAAAAAAATTAGAGTAATGAACCAAAAGGGGCGAGGTGGTGGCCTAGTGGTACTATTGCTGGATTATTAGTCCAGAAACTCGGCTAATGTTCCAGGAAGCCCAGTTCAAATCTCACCACGGCAGATGATGGAATTTGAACCAAAAGGTTTAAAAGGGAAAGTGGTTTGCAGCAGGACCACAGCAAGTTAAATTACAAGAATTATACCACACACAACCATCAACTATCAGAGCTAATGCCTATTTTTCCACATGTTTTCAAGAAGATGGTTCTTCAATTTCAACAACAGTTGCAATTCTGCTGCGAAGTAATCTACAACTCGATCTCAGACATTCAGTAGATGAAGGTCAAAGGAACAACTGGGATTCAAAGACAAGCAATGAGACAAAAATAGCGCTGTAGTCTACACTGAACTGCAAGAGCAGACTAAAAGAAAATACAGCTTTCATGCTCAAGATAGACTAAATTGGTAGATTTTGAAAATATTTTTAAACCATCTGTCAACTTAAACAGTTACTCCACCCTTCACTCAGTCTGTACCATCTACAAGATGGACTGCAAAAAATTGCTAAGGTTCTTTCAACTGCCCCGTCCAAACTCATGACCTCTACTGCCGAGAAGGACAACGATAGCAGATGTATGGTAACACCATCAGTTTCATGTCACAAGGCCGTTCGAACAAAGCCATTTACTATGGCACTGCTGGGGGCAAAATTTGGCTAACAATGTTTGCATCGCCTGGACTGCAGTGATTTAAGCTGAGGGCCTCACAACCATATTCTCAAGGACTATTAGGCATTGGCAATAAAGACTAGCCTTGCCAATGATTCAACAAACCATGGATGAATTTTCAAACTTAGATTTACACAAAATTAACACCACATTAACAGACCTGTTGGGGCAGGAGGAAAGACAATACTACAATTCTCTATTAAAGAGAATAGTAAAAGTTAGCCTGTTAAAGATCTCGAAAATGTTGATGCTATTCAGTAGGACAGACACAGAGAGGACATTACCTCTTGTGCAAAAATCTAAACTAATTGGCATGAGTATAAGACAGTCATTAACAAATCCAATAAGGAGTTCAGAAGAAATGTATTCCACCATCCAGTCAGAATGTGGAACGACAATCCAGGCCGGAGTGTGGAGGTGAATACCGTATGAATTTAAGGACAAAATATTCAAGTACATGAGTGCGAAATTAACAGGGTATGGTGAAAGGAATGAAGAAGGCGGGGCGGAAGGAGATTCACTGTTGTATAATAAGATTCATGATCATGTGACCTTGACACCAGTAAGCAAAGATAGCAATCTAGAATGAACATGTGAAAGGAGAAGTCTTAGACACTACATTAGAGAGCTGTATTTGTTAACCTAAATAATGAGTGTTACAACACATAAGGAGCTGATGAGCATTACTTAGAGGTAAGGAACAAGCAGCTTCAGGAATTGTGTATGTACAGACTCCCATAGCTTAGAATTAATCTAAACCAGTATCTCAATGCACAGGCAGCAGAACTGGCTTAAAGCACAAGGCAAAGTACTCATAAGGAATAAAAACACCAGGATAGATTGGTTGAGACAAATGACCCATTTCTGTACTGTAAACGCTCTCTCACTCTATTTATAGATATCCTAACATGGAGACCTGCTGTCACAATGCGTCACCCTTATCTATCATACACGATCATACACACATTCATTGTAGCTTGTCTATGAAGTGTGTCATCCAGCTATGCCTAGATCGATACTTCTTTCCGTTGCCTCCACTCTGCCATCTAAAAGACATCACTACAGCTGTAACTATTACGTTTAAACTACATCGACTTCCCTTTATGTTATTCATTGTTTATAATACCAGGTTGGTGGCATTGCATTTTTTTTAAGTTAACCTATTTTTCTAACAAGCTGTTCAGAGATGTTATTACACACCTCTGGAGCAGGTGGGACTTGAACCCAGCCTCCCGGTCCGGGGTAGGGACATTATCACTGTGTCACAAGAGGACCCTGAGCATGTTTACGATAAACACTGTCAAGCTTCTGTTGTGCACATATAATGTGTCAGTATGATAAATGTTAACAACAGACTAACAATCTCCCCATAAATAACTGATGTTTGTTGTGAGATCAATAGACATGCTTACTTTGAAACTAGTGCTAGGAAGACAGGCATTAACTTTTGTAACTGCTGGTTATAATCAGAAATGAAATTTGGACTTAACCTACTCATGATGCCTTGTAAAATCTACTTAGGTCTTTTTTCAAATAGTTGGGAACTTGGGGAGCCTATAGTTTCCCTGTAACTTTCTCCACAGCAATGCATTGTCCACTTAAAGTCAACTTGCCAAATTGATCAGCTCATGGAGTACAAATTGGTGAAATTTTTTTGAAAATTGACACCATTGCATTCGCTGTGATGAGTTCAAAATGAAAAGCTTCAGCAACAATCTCTCTTACCAGCAGTGAAACCCACTGTCTCATATGCCACAGCAATAACAATTACAACTATGTAGTCGAAACACTATTATTTTTTGATTCATAATATTTAAAGATTTATAATGGATAAATGCAATTCATTTCTTCACAGAAAACCTTTGTTTTAAATAAGTTATTTAAAATGTTGTGCTGCAAAATCTCATTCTTACAAGTAAAAAGTTGTCAAAGTTTGGAGATGGTGATCGCCAGTTAATCAGTCGATTTTGGCGTTGTCTTTATCACAGTTAGATTGTTTTGGAAGGATTTTAATATCCTTTCTGTATGGGAACAGCCAGAAAACAAAGCAGATTCACAAGTAACCTGAAACAAACCACAGTACAGTCAGGCAGCAAAGGACTGCAAGCAGAATGGGTACTTAAGGGAGGAAACAGAAAATCAGTTTTAAGTTGAGCAAGATGACCTGCTAAGCATGTGATTTTTTATATATTACACAGCTAACCTGAAAGCGAGTTCAAGTATCACCCGCACAATTTGCGACACATTCGGATCATCTCACAGAAAGTCAAAGCCAAACTCCCAAGTTTGTTGGATACATCAATCAGAAGCAATTGATTTTCATGAGGATGATGTGGAATTTCTTCTGACAGTTGGACTCATTGGATCTCCTTTCCATAGAGAGCTATGGGGACAGGATCCTTGTGCGTATTTAAGGCTGAGATAGATTCTTGATCAGGAGGGACAGAAAAGTGGACATGAGGAATGTCGGATCACTCAGTAGCACAGCAGGCCTGAGGAGCAAAACAGCCTACTCCCGTTCCTACTTCTAATGGTCATGTGATTTTCAAAATCGTGAGGTAGCAGGAGACAGACAACCAAAGCTCCACTTTTATGCACGCTCTTAGGTGTGACAAGAAGGTCTTCAATACTGATTCTAGCTAATGACACAGGAAAAGCATGACATCAACTTGGGACTGTATGATCAGTAACATCAACTTGGCTACAGGCACCAATACTCA